TTTGAGCCATGATTTAAATTTTTAAAGCATCTACTGTATAAGGAGATGTCAAATGTTCCCAGTGTCTTTGACATTTTTGGTCTCCAGCAGGCAAAGATATTTGCTGAAAAGAGATCATTTTGAATAAGTATGTGAGGGTAATATTTTGAGATGTAAACAGATGGAAGCTTCTTTTCTTGATATTTTCAACTATTCCATATGGCAAAAGATTCAGTTTCTTTAACTGTCAGCATCAGTATTTTCTACCCCTGAGGTTAAAATTCCTGCCCTGTCTGGGAAGAAAAAGAAAGGAGAATGGAAGGGAGGTCTAGAGATTAAAAGTCAATTTGTCTTAGTGGTTCAAGATGGCTCCATAGGAAGATCCTAAATTTACCTCCTACCGTGGACCCAACAAATCTGCCACCACATGTAGAATAGTTTTCTTTGAAAAGCCCTGAAAACTGGATAAACAGAACCTCCACGACAAATGATAAAAGGGCAGCATTGAGATGGTAGGAGACACAAAGGCACAGTTTTACCAAAAGAACTCCACCCTAGGTGAGCAACCCACAATTGGGAGGGAGCTCAAAAATACAGAACGTTTTCCATATGAGTGAGGAATTTGTGCCCCACGTCAAGCACCCCAACCCTTAGATACTGTGCAGGAGAGATAAGCCACCAAATCACCTGACTTTGAAAACCAACAAGGATACGTCCAGGAAAACCATAGAAATGTATATGAAGAACCCAGCCTTAAAGGGCTCCTTTGCAGCTGACTTGCCCAGCACAAAATCATCATCATCATCATCATCATCATCATCATCATCATCATCATCAGATTGTAAATAACCTAGACCATAAGTGAAGGAGACCATTTACTAATCTTAAAGCATCTGCCAGAGAAACAAGAGCTTACTGAGATTTTCCCTAGGAAGGGAGACACTGGTAGACACCATTTTTGAGACTTCATTCTACCTTGCTAATACTGACACTGGCAGGTACCACTTTGAAACTTGCTCTCTAACCTGCAAGCAACACTAGGTGCACCCTGCTGGGAGCCTCACCTGCCCCTATATCATGGCAGGCAGGCACATGCAGCCCACACAGTTGGACCCCTGCTGAGCACCTAGCTCTGATGGCCGGGGGGATTGTGCTTCTGGGACCCATGGAACATATCCCATACATTCCTTGAAGACTGGAAGAGGTACATGATTTGCCTAATACATAGAAACAGTCAGGCAAAATGAGGAGATAGAAGAATATGCTTCAGATAAAACAAGACAAAATCTCAGAAAAAGACCTTAATTAAATGGAGATAATCAATCTACCTGATAAAGCGTTCAAGATAATGGGCATAAAGGTGCTCACAAAATTTGGGAAAAGAATGGATAAACTTCCACTGAGATAGAAAATATAAGAAAGAACCAAACAGATGTTACAGACCTGAATAATACAATAACTGAACTGAAAAACACACTAAAAGGATTCTACAGTTGACTGGATAAAGCAAAAGACTGGATCAGCTAGCTAGAAGATAAAGCAATGGGACTCGCCCAGACAGAGCAGCACGAAGAAAAAGAATTTTAAAAGGTGAAGTTACCTTAAGGGTCTTTTAGGATGACGTTAAGTGGAATAACACTTGCATCATAGAGACCCCAGAAGGAGAAGAGAGAGAGAAAGGGCCAGAAAAATTATTTGAAGAAATAATGGCTAAAAACTTTGCTAATCTGGGGAAGGAAACAGACATCCAGGTACAGAACACCTAGAGAGTTGCAAGTAAGATGAACCCAAAGAGATCCACACCAAGACATGTTATATAGTTAAAATGGTAAATGTTAAAGGTAGAGAATCTTAAAAGCAGTAAAAGAAAAACACTTGTTATATACAAGAGAACCCTCATAAGACTATCAGCAAATTTTTCAGGAGAAACTTTGCAAGCCAGAAGACAGTGGCATGACATTGAAAGTCCTGAAAGGAAAAAATTCCAACCAAGAGTTCTCGACCCAGCAAGGTTATCATTCAGAATTGAAGGAGAGATCAAGAGTTCTCCAGATAAGCAAAAGCTAAAGGAGTTCATCCTCACTAAGCCTTACAAGAAATGTTAAAGGGGTTTCTTTAAGCTGAAAAGAAATGACACTAATTAATAACAAAAAAAGTATCATAGTGAAAAATAGTTTAAAAAAATCATAGAAAAAGTAAAAGAAAAAATTTGTACTGGAAAAGATAAATATATAGTAAAGGTAATGCATCAGTCATTATAAAGCAAGTATGAAGATTAAAAGGCAAAGTAGTAAAATCAAGTAAAACTATAATAATTAGTTAAAGGATGCTCTCT